CCATTTCCTGGAAAATGCCTCCCAAGGGCTCTGCGTGCTGAGGGAATGTTCTGGGGCCACATGGTCTATAATTGACAAACAGATTTCCTCAGTGCCCTTTACCCCAGCATCTTAGCTCTAAGGCACAATTTAGTCAAAACAAACAGGCAGAACTGGGCAAGGATCATATCCCCTTTCTCCTGTGGGAGCTCCTAGTCATCCCCATCTGCTGACAAACAATCTCTCCTCCCCCTCCATAATGTATGTCTCTGCCAAGCCAATAGTCAACAGATACATGACTAGGCAAGTGAACACTTCCCCTGTGAGGCAGTGCCCAGAAACCAATCTTGGCATCATAGATATTGAGCTGGAATGGACCTTAGAGGTCATTTAGGCTAAAGCTTTCATTTTATAGATGAAGAAACTGAGCCCCAGAGAAGGGAAGACACTGTCCAATGTCACATAGCTAGTAAATAGCAGAACCAAACGAATCTAGGGTCTCTTACTCTACATCCAGTGTTTTTCCTTTGATTGCTGAGGTCCAACCTTTCACTGAGCCCTAGAGAGGTGGCATGTCCCCTGCCATGGTCCAGCAGACATCTCTGCTGGGTCATGTTCCTTTACAAAGAAGCCCCCAACAAACGAACTTGAGCCTCTGAATGGCAGACAGCAGCTTCCCTTTCTTCAGTCATTTCTCTTTTGATTTTCATTAAATCCTGATTGCTAGTCTCTCTCTCTCTCTCTCTCTCTCTCTCTCTCTCTCTCTCTCTGTCTCCCTCCCCCCCTCCCCCTCTTCCTTGGGGAGGTGCTGATGGGGATAAAGGAGTCTCTGCCAGCCCCTCTCCTCAAATCTCTGAATTTCAGGGTTGGAAGGGACCTCAATGACTTTCTAACTTGACCCACACCCCCAAGAGTCCTCATTATACCATATCTAACAAGGGCTCATCCAGTCTCTGCTTGAAGACCTCCAGTGACAGAACCCCCACCTCTACTTTGGGACAGCTCTCATCATTAGAAGTCTGTCCAGATATCAAGTCTAAACTGGTTTCTTCAAGACTTCTGGCCATTGCTCCAAATTCTGACCTCCCCGGGGCAAATAGCACAAGGCCATCCATGACTTCTTTTGGGTGAAAACCTCCTATTTCTTGAAGATAGTAATTACAACCGCCAGCCTTTTCTTCTTCGAGCCAGAAGATCCTAGAGCTTCCACAAGATCCTCATCCATTCTCCTCCTTTTTACTGTGCTGTAATGTTGCAGTCTGAATGAAAACAGGAGGTCAGGATCCCTGGGTTCTAGTGCTGGTTCTGTCTGCCCTTAATGGTATACCTTTATGGTGAAGTGAGAAGAATATGGAAAGACCCAAGTTCAAATCTTAGGCTCCACCCCATACTACCTTGCATAAACCACTTCATGTCTCTGGGACTCAGTTTCCCCATTTGAAAAATGTGAAGGTTGGATTAGATGATGTCTAGGGTTTCTCCCAGCTCTAGAATGATGATTCCAGGGTCCATTTCTATGAATTCCCTCAGTTTTTCCTTTCTGTCAACTCAGTTCCCAGGATTTCCTTGAGAACTCAAGTTCTGTGATTCTCAAGTCATTCCTCCTAACAGGAGCATTTGTATTTTAAGAGAGGACCTTGTTTAGTCCAGATGAATCTCTCATGGGTGGGCTAGTGGAAAAGCACAACGAACCATGAGAATGAGTTCAATGTAGGGCAAGGTGCTGTGTGAGGCTTGAGCATGGAGGCAGTTGGCCTCCATGGGGGAGAGAGGACTGTCCTTGGCATTCCTTCTAATGACAGCTCTGTCCTCTACTAGCTGTCTGACCTTAGGTGTCAATGACCATCCAGTAGTCTCAGTTTCCTAATTTGTGCAGTAAGGATCACGAGGGCTGTACTGTCTTCCTCAAAAGGATGTAGAAAAAGAGGGCAGCTAGGTGGCACAGTGGATAGAGCACCGGCTTTAGAGTCAGGAGGACCTGAGTTTAAATCTAGCCCCTGACACTTGACACTTACTAGCTGTGTGACCCTGGGCAAGTCAGTTAACCCCATTGCCTTGCCAAAAAAAGGATGTAGAAAAAAAACAAATGGGAAAATGGATGTAAAGCCCCCCAAAGCTGGCTGGCTGGTGGCCATTGTTATCTGTAGCATGCTTCAAGTGTTCCCAAAGACCTGGAGGACTTTAAGCATCATGGCCCCTATTTACAGAGGAACGAACTGAGGCTCAGTGAGCCCGTGCAATGACTTCCCCAGGGTCACATAACTAGCTAGGATGAGAACTCTGCCCTGAATCCACGTTCCCTGTCTTGGATTCCTGCCTTGTTCCTGCTATCGCTGCTTCACAATTAGAGGTTTCCTGCTCTGTTCAGGTAGTGAGGCAGCCAGACCTGGTCTTGCCTTTGAAGGTCTTACAGGTGAGCAGGCAAAGTACAACCAAAATTTTCAGGGTGTGTGTATGTGTATGTGTGTATGCACGTGTGTGCGTGTGCATGTAAAATTGCAATATTCCAGGGCAGAGAGCCTAGGAGAGGATACTGCTTCGACATATGTTACATGTGCTCCTGTGTTTGGGCCGCCCTGGTTTTAGCCAGTGAGTGACAGGGTTATATCCGTGTCCTAAGTGTCCAGTCCTTGGCCCCATGTCTTAAACCAGTCTTGTTCATAAACAATGGGTCTATCAACCAAGGTTCGGCTAATACAGAAAGAGGAGGAAAGGGGCTGGGAGGTGGGGAGATGGTTTTGGAAGCGACTGGGTGGATGACGGGCCTGAGACTTTGGGGCATCTTGGTTGACTATCCCATGGGCACCTCACTCTCAACATAGGCAAAGCAGCTCATCATTTTCCTCCCTCTCCCCAAACTCTTCTCCTTTCTCAGCTTTTCTGTTAGAGTGGGGGGCACCCCC